AGCACTTACTGCTCTTGCAGCCTAGCCCCAATGCCAGGCCCCTACTTCCTGTAACTCCAGCTCCAGGGGTTCTGAGGACAGCCACATATATGTGGCACAGACACATGCATAAAAATAAATCTGAAATTTTTTTATGTTTGTTCATTTTTAGGTACAGGGTTTTTCTGTGTAGTCCTGGCTGTCCTGGAACTCACTCTGTAGACCAGACTGGCCTCAAACTCACAGAGATCTGCCTGCCTCTGCCTCCCAAGTGCTGCAATTAAAGGTGTGTGCCACCAGTGCCTAGCCCCTGAGTGCCTTTCTATTGCTAATAAACCCCAAATCTTCTTCATACTGGTTCCTTCTGACTTTTTTTCTTTCCTGCATGGAAGCCAAAACTACGTTTTTCCCCTGAGTTGATGCTCTAAAAGATTAGGGGACTCCTCAAGCTGCTGGGGCGAGAGCATAGGGCTGTGTCTCAGTCCCAGCCTCCGCACAGGGTCTGGCTATGGTCACCTTCCAGGGTAAGAAGCACAAATCAGCCAGCTTCACTGAACCCTCACCCCTAACCAGGACAATACACAATGGTTCCACAAGTGTTCCAGCTCTGTCTCTTTAGAGTCCCTCTTTTATACTTCTATCATTCCAAGACAATGGCATAAAACACTGGACCAGGAGTACTGCTGTGTGCTGTGTTCTCCTTCAGAGTGCTCACAGATACCCAATGCCTGGGCCAGTCTTAGGGCATCGTCATCCCTCTGTGACTGTCTCTTTAGTTCATCACAATGTAGGGATCACTGCATGTAGGGAGTCTGTGGCTGTGCTTAGGAGTGTCTGAGATTCTAGAATATTTGAGGGTCCATATTGTAGGGCTGAACTCTGGATGCTCAGGCTGCTAGAGCCAGAACAGCAGGGATCGACAGGGATGGTATGGGTACCCTGTCAGCTGTGGGGTCCGAGAGTCACTGGGAGCAGAACTAAGGTCAGGGTGAGTGAAGAACACAGAATAAACCAATGCAAGAAGCAGGCTGGGAGCCTGGAGGTGGTGGCACACACATTTAATCCCAGCATTCGGGAGGCAGAGGATTATGGGTCTCTGAGTTCAAGACCAGTCTGGTCTACAGAGCAAGTTCCAGAACAACCAGGTTACACTTAGAAACCCTGTCTCGAAAAAGAAAAAGGAGGAGGAGAGGGAAGAGTGAGGAAGAAGACAAAAGAAGAGGCCCATGACCCTGAGGCACCTCCACCACCTTCGTTCCCATGGGCTCTGCCACTGTCACCCTGGAGTGCATTATGCTTGCAGGAAGTCAAGTCTCCTTTTATTGCTGTCCAGAGTCAGTACTTGATGCCACCAGCTAGCAACAAGGCAGGTTAGGTCAGTCAAGTGTAGTAAGCAGGTTAGTGTACGGAGCTACAAGGGAGCAGAAGCTTGGCCCCTGTAGGAAGCTGAAGCGCCATGCTCACTCTCCTGAAGCAGAAGTAGACATGAAGAGAGGCACCCACCATGCCTTCTCCCTACCCTCGATTTCACTCAAGGCTGGATGAAGTCTTTCTTTTAAAATTTAGGCAATTTTTGGTCATAGATTTTGACAGTCATATGATTTTAAAAAGATATTTTATGAAAACATTATTTTTCTGGTGAGACAGGGTCACTCTATCTGGCCATGGCTGTCCCAGAACTCACTATGTAGTCCAGGTTAGTCTTGAACTCACAGAAAGAACTCCACCTTCCTCTGCCTCCCATGTGCTGGGATTAAAGGCGTAAGTCAACATGCCTGGCTCAAAAATGAATGTGTATTGTTGTTTTTGGTGTTCCTGCATCTGACATTTCTACAGGGCCATTGTTGATGACCTAACTGCACCTTGCTTTGTACATTGGAGATGTGGGTACAGTAGGAAGTAGAAGTTTAGTCATTGGCCATGGCCACCTGCTGAAGGTACCTGGTACCCATTCAATACTTTGCCTAGACTCAGCTTCGTGAACTCTCACCCATACACCTGTCAGTTAATAGCCTCAGATTGTGTATATTTCATGGTTTGTTTGAAACTGTCTTACTATGGAACCCAGGCTAGTCTCTTAATTCCAGATCCTCCTGTTCCTGCCTCCCAAATGTTCAGATTATAGGCCTATACCGCCATACTCCCCAGGATGTTTTTGTTTGCTTGCTTTTATTTTATAGCTCTAAAATATCACCAATACACAGGACAGGGCATACAATACACATGTTCATTGTGTGTGAGAGAGATGATAAACATTGAACCCAGGATTTAACACACATTAGGTAAGTAATTGCCATTTAGCTACAACTGAAGACTTGTTCAATAATTAAAGACAGTTTTACCACCTCAGGAGGGATCAGAAAATGAAAATGTCACTATTTGCAAATCTCTCCCTTATCACTGAACTTTCTTCTCCAAAGATGATGAGCACTATTGATTTGGTGACTCCTCACCCTATACTACTGTCTTTCTTTTTTAAATCCTTTTGCCCAGGGCCTAAGCAAGCACTGTAGCAGCACCACAACCCTAGGCTCTATCATTCATTTCTTGCAATAAGCAGTTCCTTGGTTTTCTTTCTGGTTTTCCTATCTATATAGGGATTCCTAAGCAAGAATTTACTTCTGAACATAAATGGAAACAGGTCATGGTGTAGGACTGCAATCCTGGCACTCAGCAGGTTAAGGAAGAATTGTTGTTAGCTTGAGCCATCTTGGGCTACACAGTGAGTACCAGGCTAGCCAGAGCTACACAGCAACACACAAACACAGAAATCCCTAGAACCACATTTTTTTTTTCTTGTTTTTGTTATGCTTTTTGTTTTTTTCAATATAGGGTTTCTCTGTGCAGTCCTAGCTTTCCTAGAACTTGCTCTGTAGACCAGGCTGGCCTCAAATTCATAAAGCTCCACCTGCCTCTGCCTCTTGAGTGCTGGGATTAAAGGCTCGAACCAGCAAGCCACATGGTTTTGTTGTGTCCATAGTCCCATACTGAGATTATTCTGAACTGCTCTGGTTCACTTTCCCTGCTGTGCAGTCCCAAGAACTTCTGCTCACACAGGGAACCACCAGCCAGTAAGTACTGCAGGGTCTCACAGGCTAGGCAGCTGTGAACATTTCCCAAAGTCCTGGTACAGGTGCTCAGGAGTTTCTTACAGGCACAGTCCTAAGAATGGAATTGATGGCTCACCGGGTGTGTCAGTTTTGCAAAATAACACTCAGCTGTTTTTCCACAGTGCTCACAGCAATTTACTCCCACCAACTGGGGATCAGTTCCTGCTGCTCCATTTGCTCAACACTTGGTATTGTCTGACTTACGATTTTTGCCAATGAGCTAGGTATTAATGGCACTTGTTTTTCTCATTTTTAATGAAAGTGAACCCTTTCCTTGTGCTATTTTAAAATCCTCCCCTTCAGATTTTCTACCAAGTTCCCTATTACATTGTCTTCTTTTCTTTTTTCAATACCAGGGATTGAATTCAGGGCCTCATGAACCGTAGGCATTCTACCGCAGAACTACCCCCCCCCCAGCCTGTGTCCCCTTTTCTCTCGTGTGTGGTGGTGGTGGGGTGATTACCTTCTATGCATGTGGAAGCCAGAGAAGATCAGCCATCTTCCTCTATCATTTTCCATTTCCGTTATTGAGGTCTCTCAGTGGACCTGAATCTGTTTCAGCCGGTCTGGCTGGCCAGTAAACTAGAGTCCTCTGCTCTGTGTAACAGAGGGGTGATGGTGTTATGGGTATGTGCAGTTATTCCAGTTTTTATGTGGGTGTTATGGATTTGAATTTGGACCCTCTTGCTTTCACAGCAAGTGTTTATTCCCTGAACCAAATCCATAGACCACCTTCTTTTGGAGATAAAATCTCATAAACCCTAGGCTGGCCTGGAACTTGCTTTGTAGCCAAGAATGACCTTGAACTTCAGATCCTCATACCTCCCAGCTATGATTACAGAGGTGTGTACCACCACACTCTACCAACTGAGCCATATCCCTGACATTTTCTTGACAGCAGCTGTAGTATGTGTTTTGGGTGAGAATTTTGTTGATAAAAATATTCTTATCCACTCTGTGCCCATCTCTTTACTCAGGTTTTAGATTAAGTTTCTAGTATTAATACAGACCATCTTATTAACATTCTCTTCATTGTGAGATCATGAATATTTTCTCATGCTATGCCCAGACTTGTACTGTTATCCTTGCTTTCCTGGACAGTAAGCATGCAGAAAAGTATTTCATTTGCACTATAAGCAAGTCACTGCTCAGTGATGCTCTTTCTGTTGGAGGGATGAACACCAAGCAGGATGAGCGTTAAACAAGCATTTTACCTGGCTCCAAATCCCTCATCCACAGAAGGAAGCTGAGGCTCAGAGAAGAGAGCATGGGTAACACGACAGGAATAGTCTAGCGAAGTGGCTATTTTCTTACAGCAAGTTCATGGGCAAATTAACTTTTCTGAGTGCCAAGTTTCTTCACCTCTCCAAAATAAATGAATTAAAAATGCTTACAAAGATGTTAGTTTCAGGCCAGTTCATAATATGAGCTTGAAAACAACAGGACTGGAATTTAGTTTCCAAGTTTAACTACTTCCTTTCATGTCTATGATAGCTGGGCAAACAGCAAAAGTCCCACCCAGTCTTCCCAGAGGCTACGAGAGCACATGACATGATACCAGGCAGGTGAACTCTTACCCACATCCTATCCACCCTCTTCCTGGTACCTGACTCCCACTAACTTTTCCACCAGCTGCTGCCTGGACCAACTGTTGACATCTGCAAGCCTACAGCCTAGAGCCTACCTGGCTCCCAGGAAGAAATCAACCCACAGTCTGTCCCACATTATTTAGAAATTGGGACACCTAGGGCACCTGCTCAAGGCCCACATGGCTAGGGTGGCTCCTTCTTGGGAGGGAAAAAGGAAGCCACCAGTTTCGGTCTGCACTGATAAGGAATAAGGTACATGTGTTCAGTCTCTGGGAAAGACATAACTCCCAGCCCACCTGCTTTCCAACAGAGAAACCAATCATGAAATGAAGGCCACTGAATTTATTAGCCTAAAAAATCTTTATAAGGGCAGTGACTATTTCTGCAAAAAAAAAAAAAAAAAAAAAAAAAAAAAAAAAAAGGCCAAAGGGCATCCAACAAATGGTGAAAGGGTGAAAGGCGGAAGAAAGGGGCCAGGATCCATTCAGGAAAGCTAACTGCTGTCACTGAACTGCACAGGGAGAAGGGGCAAGGCATGCAAGGACAAGAATTCTAAAGAGGTTGAAATGCTGAGGGGAGAGAACTCCCAAAAGACCCCAGAGAACATAGGAGGTGAGTGTGACAACAGTAATCTTTCCCTTCATGGAGGACAGGGAGGAGCCCCGCCCGGCTTCAGACTCTGGAGACTCAATTCTGTGGCTGGGGGGGGGGGGGGCTGAGGAGTCCCCAGAGTGCACTACAAGAAGGCATCACACCATTCTCGAAGGCAACCAAAGCAGTCCCGGGACTGCTTGGCATTGGCACCACACGTGTCTTTCAGCCATTCTCGGAAGAGGTCTTCATCTTTCTTTAGCACCAGAAACTGGCCAAGAACCACATAAGCCTGTAAAACAGGAAAGGGCATACAGCTAAGTGCCTTGTGAGCTAAGAGCAACAAGACTATGGATGTGTTATCACCCTGAAGGGGCCAGATCTCTGAAGCAAGGCAGGCCAGTTGGTAAGTACTTTACAGGACAAAGCTGTTTTTGTTTTGTTTAAGACACACACACGGTCTTGCCTCGACCTCACAAGTGCTGGGGTCACAGGCAGGACCCAGTACGCCTAGTTTCACTTTGTGGCATTGAGAACACACAAGGGATAGGACACAGTGGGGCACACCTTTAATCCCAGCACTTGTGAGGCAGAGGCCCTGTCTCCAAACTAAAAAAAAAAGCAAAACGCCCAAAAATGGCCATACCTTCCCAGATGGCCCCAAACTACTACAAATTATTTACCACTGCCCGTGCCCTCCCATACGTTTCCTAACTCCCAACTTTTGTGCTTGGAAACATCTATTGCCAACTTTCACTCCTACCCCTCCCTGGCATTCGTGGCCACCCCACACCTTGTCAAAGCCCCTTTCCTCCAGCTTCTTGCCCAGGACTTCACCAATCCCGGCCAGGCTCCCCACTGGCTTTTCCCCCATGGGCTCTGCCACGAAGTCACGGTGCTTTTGGGAGGTTGTCATCTTGATCAGGTTTAACCTGGGAATCCCAAAAAAAGGCAGGTTAGGGCTGAAGACCACAACTCCCAAGAGTAACCTCCTACGTCAGCTATTATGGCCGCTTCCTCGATTCCCTTCATTTCACACCTGAGGAAACGGAGGGCCAGGGAAGGTCTTTCCCCTCTATCTCAACTTTCCGAAATCTCAACTTTCTGTGGGCCGTGGGTTTGGTACTGAGCCGATGGAAATACCAGCTTGCACTAACAGGTGGCGCACGAAGGGGCACGCGAAGATTCCGAGGCTCAGCAGCCAGGGCCCGCCCTGAAGCTGTCACTCTCGGTGACCTTAGCTAGGCAGACACTGACCCAGACGGGAGATACCGCGTGGTAGAGATAGCAAAACAGAGGGTCTCGTACCCTCGCCGCCCTCCAGAGGCCAACAGGCGCCGCGCACCCACTCCCGCCGCCCGCCGCAGCTCACGCCTCCCTGGAGCCAGGCCCCGCCCCAAACACGCCGCCCCGCCTCCTCCACGCGCCGCCGCCCGTACGCGCCGCGCACCACCCCTCCCGCAGGGCCAGGCCGCTCCGCTGCAAAGGCGCGCCTGGGCGGTGAGTGCTCCTCTCCCTCCCGCCTCCGCGCGCCGTCTCCGCCGCCTAGGCAGAGCCCTGCTTCACCGCTCACGCTCACCTGCAGCTCCGGGTCTGGTAACGGCTCCTCGCGCCACTCGGCCGCTCCTGCCGGTACCTCAAGCTACTAGAACGTTCTTCAACTTCCGCTTCCGGGTCGCCTCATGAGCCGCCTTCAAAAATACCCAAATTGGGCACGTCTAGCCACAGAGAGCCATAGAGTTGAGGGGCAACCGCTGACTTGCGGCGCCCACAGTAGTCACTGTTTTCCGGTCCCTCACAGGAAGCCGCGCTGCTTTCTATCGTCTTGTCTCCGGCCCGCTTCCCAACTGTGAGACCGAAGCCTCGGAAGAGAATGCTAGTATGGTTTTCCTGCCCACTACCCGGAACTTAAAGACTTAGGTTGCCTGACTTGGTCGAGGGAAGAGCTAAAGGAACGGACAAGAAGGGGCGGGGCATCCGTAGAGCTACTGAGCGCCCCGGAAGTGCAATTCTCGCGGGTTCCTCAGAGTCAGGTCTATCTGAAGCCGGCTGACGGCAGCTAGGAACACCGGAGGTCTGAGGCCAAGCGTCCAAACCCGCGCTACCGTCGTGACCACCTGCAAGTCTCATTTCTTTGCTTTTGTCGACTCGTTCTTGAAGTGAGTCGTGGAGAAGCTGCTTTCAACGTCAACCTGGAAAACAGAACTTGCTTGTGTAACGCCGAGCGGGTGAGTGCTGTGGGTGGTTCTTTTCTCGAAGGGTCTTTCGGCTTGAAGCGCCGCGATGGTCGCCTCATTCTACACCGTGAGTGTTAGGAGGGCGAGTATCTGTTGTACGGCTGTCCTAGACTTGGGGGGTGTTAAAGCATGTGGAGGAGAGTAGTTTATCTCAAACTTACCCAAAGAGGTGGTCAGCCTGGGCGGTGGTGGCGTATGCCTTTAATCCCGGCACACGAGAGGCAGAGGTGGGCGGATCTCTGAGTTCGAGACCAGCCTGATCTACCGAGTGAGTTCCAGGGCAGCCAAGAACTACACAGAGAACCCTGTCTCGAAAAGCAAACAAACAAAAGGTTGCCCAAATGACCGGCCTGGGAGGCGCGAATGGTTTTCTCTTCACAGCAGTACTTATGACAGGAGTATATCTCACTTTATTTACTTGTATTTTGTTTGTTATTGAGAGGAAATGTCACTATGTAGACCAGACTGGTCTCCATCTTCCGGAGCTCATCTTGCGTCTACCTCCGTGGTTTGGGATTAGAGTTTTGAGATTAAAGGCTTGAGCCACCCCCACTCTCCCAACTAAGACTATAAAACATGTTTTGTAGGTTTTTGTTTTTAAGATTTACTCTGTGTGTGGGTGTCGCAAGTGCCCTTGGCTTCTCCTAGAATTGGAGTTAGAGATGGTTGTGAACCAACTGATGTGGGTTCTGGTCCCTGAGACATCTCTCCAGCCCTTAAAGGTCCTGTTTGCTTCTTTTTGAGACAGGGTCACGCTGTGTAGACCACGCTGACCTAGAATTCAACAAATATCTGCCTGCCTCTGCATACCAAATACTAGGAATAAAGGCATACACTAGCATCTGGCTAAAGCGTCTTTTTCGTTTTTTGGGTTTTTTGTTTGTTTGTTTAGTTGGTTGGTTGGTGTTTCAAGACAGGGTTTCTCCATGGTGTTTTGGAGGCTGTCCTGGAACTAGCACTTGTAGACCAGGCTGGTCCCATCTCAGAGATCCTCCTGAGTGCTGGGACTAAAGGTTTGCACCACCACCACCCGGCGTGTTTTTCATTTTATGTTTATCAATGTTTTTACCTGCATGTATGTCTCAAAAAGAGGGCCTTGGAGTTAGGGTCAGTTATGAGCCTCTATGAGCGCTGGGAACCATACCTGGATTCTCTAGGAGAGCAGCAAGTCAGCCAGTCCTGTAAAGCTGTGTTTTTAACAGGTTAAGGCAACACTTTCTCATATAAGGCTGCTTCTCCTGAGAGCAGTCCTGGCTTCCAAGAGTGACATCCACATAACTGTGGAAGAAGTTAAGCTGACAGCCTCTGCACCCTAACAACCCTGGACAGAATCTAGCATGTCTCAGGCCACCAAGAGAAAGCATGTGGTGCAGGAGGTGCTGGGAGAGCACATGGTGCCCTCGGACCAACAACAGATAGTGAAGGTGAGGAGGGTTGGCCTCAGCTTTTCTCTACTTCCATTGGACCCCTGGGGCGTGGGAAGGGCTTGATGCAGGTCAGTGTGTGCATGATCTAACTGATGATGTGCCTAATTCTTGCTCTTTCCTGGATCAGGTCCTCAGGACTCCCGGGAACAATCTGCATGAGGTAGAGACAGCACAAGGGCAGCGCTTCCTGGTGAGCATGCCCTCCAAATACCGCAAGAACATCTGGATCAAAAGAGGTTAGAAGCATCCCTCTTCAATACAGAACTATGACCTTGACTCTCTTCTTCACATAGGAATGACTATCTTTTGTCACCTATAGGGGACTTCCTCATTGTTGATCCTATTGAAGAGGGAGAAAAGGTGAAGGCTGAGATTTCTTTTGTGCTCTGCAAGAACCATGTCCGTTCTCTGCAGAAGGAAGGACACTGGTAGGATAATCTGGCTTCTGGGAATAGTAGCACCCTAGCTAGGGAACGGGGTTGGGGGTGGTGAGGTTATGCCATCCCAAGACTGCTATTTTGCTGAGAGGGTTCTCTTCACTCTCTGACCTGGCTCTTCTCTTGTCACAGGCCTGAGGCCTTCTCTGAGGTAGCTGAGAAACAAAACAATATGAACAGGTAAGGAGCAAGCCCCAGCGCAGGGAAGATAAAAATACAATTTCATACCTTGGTGTCTCAAGGAGAAAGGTGATCCTGCTTTTCTCCTGTTGAGAACTCCAACATGTAGAGTGGATAGTTACGGGTATGTATGGTTTGAAGGCCAGTGCTCTGAATTAGAATGCTGGCTTCACTACTTAATAGACATGTGACTTTAGGTGCATTATTTAATGTCTTCAGACAGATTCTTAACTGGGCATCGTATTATATGCCTGTAATTCTGGCAATTATAAGGTGGAAGCAGGAGTTTGAACCAGCATTGTGTACATGAATCAGGTTCAAAGACAGCCTGAGCTACATGAAACCTTTTCTCGAAAACAGGTGTTTACCTAAGAGACAGAATTATGCAGAGGCTAATGCTTATGAAATTGTTTAGTGCAACAGTTCTCACCTTAGGGGGTCTCGACCCCTTTGGAGGGGGTTGTTGTATATCATCAGATATCCTGCATATCAGACATTTACATCACGATTCATAACAATAGCAAAATTACAGTTATGGAGTAATTATGAAATGATTTTGTGGTCGGGGTCACTGCAACATGAAGAACTGCGTTAAAGGGTCGGAGCATAAAGATTGTGGACTGCTGGCTTAGTGTGTCAGCTGTTAGGAAGTGTGAGCTCACTGCATGTCAGTGATGCTACTAGAGTTGTTGGTTCTGTACTGAAACCAATGATGGGGTGGGTAGGAGGTAATCCTTAGTGTATTTCCTTCCACTAGGATTCCCTATTTGCTCTCTTCTTCCAGAAGCCCCTCCTGTTTATTTCTTGGGTCAGGGTCTCATGTAGCCCATGCTGTCCTCAAACTCATGGTCCTGTGCCTCCTAAATACGAGGCATGTATCACCACATCAGGATCAGGGTTTGGGGCTCTTGGATTTTCTCAATTCCTGGCTGTTTAGTTGATGGTCCTGATTTTTTGAGACTCTAGATTATAGATCTGGTTTTCCCAGAAGATGTTACTTACTCTGTCTTCTTGCTCACACAGACAGAGTCAGCCAGAACTCCCCGCTGAACCACAGCTGTCAGGAGACGAGTCAGGTTCTGAAGATGATTCTGACCTCTTTGTCAATACCAATCACAGACAATATCATGAGAGTGAGGAGGAGAGTGAAGAGGAGGAGGAGGAGGCGGCCTGAGCCTGACCAACCCACTTCTCTACTTGCTCAGGGACTACCCCTTGGCTTTTCTAGGCTTGGACATTCCGAGGGTGCCCTGCAGATCTTTCCTTTTGAATGGGGACAAGGCATGGCCCCTTTCTGAACTGACCTAGAAGAATTAAACCCCTGGTGGGTTAATGACTTACCCTGGTGTCTGAGTGGCTCTCTGTGTGAAGGGAAACACATGGTGATGAAGCCTTCTTTCTTGGTGGAGGCCTTGGTCCCCTGTGGGTAGAATGGAAAGGAAAATGGGTTTGGCTGGAATTTGCAGCGTGTGACTTGTTCACAGTACCTCTCTGGGCACTTTGGTACCTTACCCTGTGCTGTGCCTCCTTAACTAACAGCAGTCTTACTTCATTATCTGCTTATATTCAGTAGTGATTCCAATAGTTACAGTTGCAACATAGGACCTGGTACCCATCTGCCTCTTAAGCAAAGCTCAGGACAAATCCCATGGTGCCTTGTGAGCTGCTTCCCTTCTTCCTAGTTTTTTTCTTACTGCAACAGTACTTACTACCTGCTGCCATATAAATAACACCCTGTGCATCTCTCTGTACCATAGCTACCTGTCATCTCCAGAATGTGTCTGTGGTCAGGATACCTCTATCCTTACCATCTCCTGATTTTCTTTTAGTTTTGCTAATCTCCTCAGGATATTAACTCTCCTAAAATCTTTTCTTGAGATGGTCTCAATAACCCAGTAATCCATATATAGCCTAGGCTAACCAATTCAATGGCTGTCCTGCCTCAACCCCCAATAGTTGGGATTACAGGTATGAGCCACTGTCCTAGGCTGGCTACTATCTTTTTATTAAAGGCTATTGTAACACCCTCATCCATTGGCTTATTGTGACTCAAACCTTTGCTCATTATGGCCTCCTTTCATATACTTATTTTAAAATAGTTCTTCCCATTACTTAAGTTCAAAGATCCTTCAATGGCCTAAGTACTCAACAAACTTTGCAAGCCTCTGTGAACTATGTCCTCTCTCTTGGGGAGGCTTTCACTTGTGGCTATATACTGCTAGCATTAATCCAGCCACTGTTGAATCCTGAAGACTGGCCTCCCAGCTTAGTCTTTCCTCTGCTGATCATTTCCTCCAGCCCACAGTGGAGCTGTTCAACCCTGTTGCCAACTCCTAGTGTGCTTGTGTGTTTATTTTTTTTTTTTTATTTTATTTTATTTTTTGGATTTTTCCAGTCAGGGTTTCTCTGTGTGGCTTTGTAGACCAGGCTGGCCTCAAACTCACAGAGATCAGCCTACCTCTGCCTCCTGAGTGCTGGGATTAAAGGCGTGTGCCGCCACCACCTGGCTGCTTGTCTGTTTATTTTCATTGTGAGCTAATGGGCTTCTACTTTGGAACCTTCCTTTTGTTTTCTGGGGCATTTTGCTTTTCTGTTGTGGATTGGTAGTTGGTTTGGGTGTTGGGGGGCCAGTCATTATGGGAGATATGTAGACTCTCTTTTCTGAACAGGAAATACGGTTATCACGCCTTCCCAGGCTCTCTTTTATCCATTCTTCGTGTTTGTTTTTTTATGATACTAAATGTATCCTTGGGTGTACACATGTATACAATATAGATGTATGTCATGGAAAAATAAACCAGATGGGTTAAAGATAAATGTATATCTTTAACTTCTCTGAAATTTTTTAATGGAGAGCTTTTTGTTTTGTTTTTGTTCAGTACTAAGGATTGAACCTAGGGCTTTCAGCAGCACTTAGCATAGTAGTATATCCATAGCTTTTTGAAATCTATCATTTATGGGAAGGAGAGAGCTAACTTTTTAGCTAGAGAAAGAGCCACTTGTCCCTAGCTCATCAATTGGCTCGTTCTTTCCTCATTGTTAATATCTTTTTTAAAATTCATATCCAGAAAGGTATTCTTGGTTTACACCTTTAATCCTAATCCCAGTACTTGGGAGATAGAGGCAGTCAGATCTCATGAATTCTAGGCCAGGCAGAGCTACACAGTGAGATCCTGTTCAAAAACAAAAAACAGGCATCATGGCACATACCTTTAATCGACTTACTTAGGCAGAGGCAGTGTATCTCTGTGAGTTAGTTTGATTAACAGAGTTCCAGGGTAGCCAGGGCTACATAGAGAAACCCTGTCTTTAAAAAAAAAAAAAAAAAAGTATTCCTAATTCTATTTGGGAAGGTGAGAGCAATGGATCAAGACATTACTATGGGTCTGGACTATATGAGTATATACAAGACTTTGTCTTAAAAAATAGATTCCTGCACATACTGGTCTTCTTAAAATTCAAGTCTGTCCTGTGGGTCTTTGTACCTACACATTATACAGTACACTTGATACCTCATAGCCCCCCCTCCCCCAATTTCACCATCCTGAGGCCATCTTGAATTTCCTCATGAGAATTTTAGAATCAACTTGGTTGTTTTCATTTAAAAGTCCTCTTGGCAGGGCCAATGAAATAGCTCAGGCACACACTTGCCAAACCTGAGGACCTTATTCAAACTCCAGGGTCCAGACAGTAGGAGACAATGGACTCCTGAAAGCCTAGGCCCCCTACTGTTGCCGCAGTTCTGAGATAACATGCACCACCACGCCTTTGTGTGAGTGCAGGGGATGTAACTCGAGGCCTTGCACATCCTAGGCAAGCACTCTGCCAACTAGTATACGTCTCAGTCTCACCTATAACCCTGGCTGTCCTGGAATTCTCTATGTAGATGAAGCTGGCCTGCTTACAGACATCTGCCTGCCTTTGCCTCCAGAGTCCTGAGATTAAAGGCATGTACATGGTGCCAACTATTACAGGGTTTTTTGTTTGTTTGTTTGTTTGTTTGTTTGTTTGTTTTAATGCTTGGTACTAGAAATCTAACCCAGAGCACTGGGAAGTAGTGACTTGTAGCTGGCACCCTGGCAGACTCCCCATCCCCCTTGGGAATGGTGGCTGTATAGCAGCTGGACCCCTGTGGGCACAGCAGCTTTTGTTTTTTTTTTTTGAGTATAGGGCACGAATTTTACTTTTGGTGGGTGGGTATTTTTCCAGACAGGGTTTCTCTGTGTATCTTTGGAGCCTATCTTGGAACTGGTTTTGCAGACCAGGCTGGCCTCAAACTCAGAGACCAACTCGCTTCTGCCTCCTGAGTGCTGGGAATAAAGGTGTGTGCCACCACTGCCCATCAGATTTTATCTTTTAATAAGTTGTAACATAACCCCCTTTGGCCTCCCTTTTTAATGGTCAGCCCTGAAAACATATCACACAAACAACATTATGCAAACTAAGCAGGCTATATTTATGTATATGCATGCTAAGCAGGCTATATTTATGTATATGCATGCATATACATATAAGTAAATACATTTTAAAAGGGGTCATGAATTTGAAAAGGCAAAGAGGGTTACAAAAGACTTGGTGGAAGGAAAGGGAATTGGAAAGGGATGTAATTATAATCTCAAAAAATAAAAGCTGGGTAGTGGTGGTGCATGCCTTTGATTCAGCATTCTGGAGATGGGGCAGGTGGATCTCCAGAGTACAAGGACAGCTTTTTCCAGGGCCACAGAGAGAAACCCTGTCTCAAAGAAAAATTGAAATAAAAACTCAATTCAGGGGCCTGTAAGATAAACCACCATATAAAGGCACTTAGCACCAACCTCGTGGAAGGAAAAGAACTGACTCTGACCTCTGACCTCCACACATATGAAGTTTTGGTTTTTTTGTTTTTTGTTTTTTTTTTGTTTGTTTTTTGAGAGAGGGTTTCTCCATGTAAAAACCCTGGCTTTCCCAGAACTCACTTTGTAGAACAGGCTGGTCTGTAACTCACAAAGAGTTCTCCTGCCTTTGCCTCCCAAGTGCTGGGAGACACAGGTACGTAATTTAAAATTTTTAAATCCTGATTCATGCAACTGAGTTGTGTACATCTTGCTTTCTCTGAGTGCCTTTTACCCTTGTGCTTAAAGTCTACATTTAAAATAGCTCTTAATAAAGTCTTTGTTTGGGTGTGGGCTAATAACTGGGTCAGCAGTTATGAGCACTGTCTACTCTTCCAGAGAACCAGGGTTTCCATCCCCAGCACCAATGTAGTAACTCACAACCATCAGTAACTCCAGTTCTAGTGCATGGACCCCTCTTCTGGCTTCTGTAACCACCAGGCAAGAAATGTGGTGTACAGACACATATGCAGGTAAAATATCCATCCACATATAAAACATAAAAGGAAGAAAAACTGTTAACAGAAGATAGGAAAATAGAAACTATAGTTCTCATAGAAGTGTTCCAAGCAGAAAATTCATTTTGTGGGTCATTTTAGGTCTCAAAGGCATTTCTGAGGTCAGAGAACTAATTTGTTCCCTTTCAGAATCCCATCCCCAACTACTGTTTTTACTTTTGTTTTTCAAGACAGGCTTTCTCTGTGTAGCCCTGGCTGTCCTGGAACTCACTCTGTAGACTGGGCTGGACTCAAACTGCTTCTGCAGCTGGGATTAAGGACATGGGCCGCTGTCCAGCCTGTTCTGACTTTTAATAGAAATTAAACTTGCCCATTATGTTATAGGTTGGGAAATAGGCACAATTCTACATCTGGCTACCTTCCATACCCATGAGATGCACACATTTTCATTCCGTCACAGGAATATCAACTATTTACCCCTTCTGTCAGTGGGTGTGGATTATAGCATTGTTAGATGCATCCTTGTTCATGTATTGGCTTTAATGTGTAAGTGCACTTTCAGAATGTTGCTAAACCAACATGTTCTAAGTTTAAAATGGGTATTTCCAAAATATTCAGAAAAAGATGAAAGAACAAAGTTTCTCATGCTTGCCACTGAGCCCTCATGCCTCATGTATCTCTGCTGCTCCTGGCGTTCATTTATGCTGGAGTAACTCCTAAGAGATCCCATGCAGTGTCACACCCATGTACTGGCATGTATTCTAGTAAATCTCTGTAACAGATGGAGCAAAGCTAAAGGCAGAACAGCAGGCTAAAAGATGGGTGTTCTGGGGCCTTCAGCAGGTAGGCATAGCCTGGACAAGGGCTCCAAAGTGAGGAGCAAAGGCACAACTGATGGGGATGTCCTTCTGTACATGTATTTCTCTGACTGGTTGATGAATAAAACAGTTTGGCCAATAGAGGCAGAAAGATAGGCCAGGCTAACAGAATTCTGGGAAATGTAGGCACAGA